TATGTTTGGGACGTGCCTTGACACTAGATCATAGGTCAGGACATGATGTGTCACAGCGGATGATTGCAGGGTTTCGGGGGCGTTTTTCTAATATTTAAACATTTGAAGTCAGCTGATTTTCCTGGGTAACGGACTTGCTTATGCTTAGATTTTCATTTGAAGCTAACAAAGCCAGGCTTTTTCCTTCAATTTAGCCCCACTGATGTGTGTGATCATGATAGAAGTACAAAATGATCACATGTAAAAAATAAACAACACAGGCGTGCTGTCAGCCACTTGAATGTGTCTCATAGCTTTTAACCAATATATTGATTGATCCGTGAAGATCCGGGGAAGAATAGATCCCCAGCAGCCCTTGCTTTTCGTAAGAGGCGACTAACGGGATCGGGTGGTCAGGCTCGCTGACTTTTTTTAATGCATGTCATCGATCCCAATTGCGTGGATCGATGCTCATAATGTCAATCACTGGATTGTCTGGTCCAGACTCAATTAATTACAGACCGCCGTCATATAGCTGAAATATTGCATAGTGCGGCATTAAACATCACACAAACAAACAAAAATCATACCAATATTTCAAGGGTTTCCGCAGCTTTAAAATTGGGCATTTCCCTTAGGCCAAAAAGAACCCTTACATTACGTTCTCCTCTGCAAAACAGTATGATTTTAAAGTTGTCGCTGCATAGTAACCAGTACACAGTCTTTGGGCTAAAAACAACAACTTCAAGGCCAATTGTTACAACTATAACGTCAGCAAGGATATTAATATTAGAACATACATACTCTCCTTTATACAATAAAAGTTACCGGCCTCAAAGAGGGACATGTGCCCGCCATTCGGTGGGACTAAAAAAAATAATGATTTTCTTCATAATTTTACTTCAGATCGGCGGATCCGTAAACCAAGAAATTTAGACAAGTGACTTTGTTAGAAATATGCCTCTGTTCAACCTACAGTGAGTGGGTACCCGGTAGGATTAGATGGTAACGTGGCATTTTTCTTCTAGTGCCTCACGGGGGCACGGGGGTCCCAGTCGTCTAAGGCGCCGCGATTCGCTGTGCAGAGTTGCGTCCCTTGGGCACGCCAGAAACCTATGATTGTGGGTTCGAATTCCGGTTCGCCCCGATTATGTTTCTAGATTTGTCAGCACCATACGCGTGCTCGTGGGTTTCACCGAAGTGGTAAACGTCTGAGACCTGCATCACTTCGGGCTTTCCTCATTAAGCTGACACGCCGTGATATAACTGGAATACTGTTAAAAGCGGCGTTAAACCCAACTCACTCACTCTAGTGCCTCACGGGCAACTTGACTGGTACACTCCCCAGGGAGCTGAGAATGAAACTCGAGTGTACACTGATCCATTGACCGGGGTAGTGATAATGTTGCCATGAGCAATCACTTAGTGAATGAAATTTGCGCATGGACTTAATATTAAATATAAACATAACACAAGGTGAGGTGCTGCGTCCGTTTAATCTTTATTCTGTTTATAACGGAAAACTGTTACACTGCATGTTTCACTGTTATCCTTTGGGGGTAAAACTGTAAAATATTAATTTCAAAATAAAAGAACCATATGCAGCGTTTTTAAATCATGTCATTTTCGAACAGTGCTGTGTAATGTAGTCGTCCTGGCATCGTGGACAACACTAGAATGTGTGCAATGCTCGGCTGTGCCGGCCGACGTCACCTAGAGTGTTGAATGTCCCGACTGAAGGCTTTCAGAAAGTCACCCCTTGTCAACTCTATAAGCACAATATTATCCGCTGTTTTCACTGTACAAATTATATGTCAGAGCCTTCAATACACATAAGGGCACCATGCATATATACTACTCAAAAGTAGTAAGGCCCGCAACTGTAGTTAAGCTGACATGCCCTGACAGATTAACTATAGCAATATGAAAGAGTCGCAGGTCTTCTATTGAGTAGTGTAGGCTCTCTTCATGATCCATGGGCCGTAACATTCATTCCGAGTTACAAATGCAGGCTTTCATCTTTGTGTCTATAAGCACCGCGGTCAATGGTTCGTGTCTTCCACCTCCCCTCTCTCTCTCTCTCTCTCTCTCTCTCTCTCTCTCTCTCTCTCTCTCTCTCTCTCTCTCTCTCTCAAACACTGAGTCCCCCGTGACTCGACCCCCATAATGTGTCAAGATACACAAGTTATCGTACACACATGAAGCGTGTCATAACAATATGAATATTGCCTTTTCCCTCTTTATTTATTATAACGTATTTGAATCGTTATCTATCGTGTAGTTGTCCGATTTTCGATCACGAACGTTGATACTACCTAATTTCGTTTATCCGACATACTCGTTAATCCGACATAATCATATGCAACCAACAGTGTCGGATTAACGGGACTTGACTGTAAGTTAATATCATCTTGCTTTTCTTGAAGGGTATCAGAGAACAAGTTTCTCCAATCTTGAACGTCCAGGGATTCAGGGCAAAGATGGTACGGACGACTTACGGGATCGGGTGGTCAGGCTCGCTGACTTGGTTGATGCATGTCATCGCATCCCAATTACGCGAATCGATGCTCATGATGTCAGTCACTGGATTGTCTGGTCCAGACCCGATTATTTACAGACCGCCGTCATATAGCTGGAATATTGCTGAGTGCGGCGTTTAACAACAAACCAACAAAACTGCTTGATGGCCATACCAGGATCAACGTCACGGTGTCACGTCCACACACCGAGAACTTTGGGTTCGTGTTCCTTTCTCTGCCAAAAGACAAAAGACGGAGTCCAACAAAGCTGAAGAGACATAATCACTGTAAATATGTGTACTGTTTCGACACAAATGTTAAAATTGATATTATATACTTATGGGTCACTTATCACAAATCATGAGAAACGATGACATCTTGCTGGAAAAGTTGTGTGAGGGGTTCTAACCTACGTATTTAGTCCAACAGGAATTTGGTACTGGAGCCGTAAACATCTGAATAGTGAGTGATGGAATGTTGTTTGACACGCACTCACTCCCCTACCCACCACTCACTCACTCACTCACTCACTAATCTGGGCGTGGGATGTTAGTATCCATGTAAACATTTGATCAATCAACAGGACTAGGCGTTGCTTTTATGAACGCTTCTATTAACTAATGTCACCAGCCCGCTGTTCCGAAGTTCCCTGTCTGGATTTTTTTTATATAGAAAACAGATTTATTTGATTCAAGTTGGGGACAAGCAGAAAGGTCCAGCATTTCACTTCCCCGATTATCCACTTCTATTCAGTAATGGGGGGCACGGGTGGCCCAGTCGTCTTAGGCGCCGCGATTTGCTGTGCAGAGTTGCTTCCCTTGGGCACGCCAGAAACCTAAGATTGTGGGTTCGAATCCCGGTTCGCCCAAATTATGTTCTAGGTTTGTCAGCACCATACCCGTGCTCGTGGGTTTCACCGAAGTGGTAAACGTCTGAGACCTGCATCACTTCGGGCTTTCCTCCCACATTAAGCTGACACGCCGTGATATAACTGGAATACTGTTAAAAGCGGCGTTAAACCCAACTCACTCACTCACTCACTCACTATTCAGTAATGATGTAAACTCATTTGCCTCCATAGATTCTTTATAAGGCCAGGTCGAATGACACGACACTGCAACAAATGGCGGTACCTCTGTAGTACTCAAGGCGTCTGGTTGCGTGTCGTCTCAGATGTAAGTGGAAGCGCCTGGTCGCATACGGACTTCATTTCTCATATGAAATACATCTTAATCATCCAATATTTTAACTATGGCATTATATGATAAGGAGCTTATTATTCCCAAGCAGAGAAACGCCATTTTCCAGCCGTAGACGCAGGTCTCCCCCCAACTCGACCAGCTCCAAATATTTTAACCGTACGTGTAGCAGCCTTCCCACATAATGCTCCATAACACTTCAAGTAATCCTGTGCTGTCCATGTGTTCCTGTCAAGTAGGTTTGCCTTTTCCGCGTGGATATCCTCGTCTGCCCCTCAACGAATCTCTGTAGGCAAAATAGCTATTATACCATTGCATCGTTAGCCATTGCGCCTTTTATATCACGCACTCAACGTCTACCCAACGTTTATCCGTTCCGCCGCCTTCTCCATCCACTCGACCCCGGAAGATCCGGTTTGAGAAATTGTCCCAGGCAACCCATGCTCGTCGGGAGAGGCGATTGCGGGATCAGGGTGTCAGGCTCGCTGACTTGGTTGATGAATTTCATCGTTTCCCAATTGCGTAGATCGATGCTCATGATGTCAATCACTGGATTTTCAGATTCGATTATTTACAGACCGCCGTCATATAGCTTGAATATTGCTGACAAACACGAATATAACAGTCCATCCTATTTAGCCATTGTAAACAGTCCAAGGTTTATCCATTCCACCCACCCGAGTCTACCCCAGTCCGACCACGGCAGGTAAACACATAGTGAAAAACAACATTTATCCATTCCGCCACTAACTTCCCCCGGGGCCGTCGGGTAGCCTAGTGGTTACAGCGTTCGCTCGTCACGCCGGAGACCCGGGTTCGATTCCCGACACAAGCACAATGTGTGAAGACCATTTCTGGTGTTCCCCGCAGTGATATCGCTTGAATAAAAGCGGCGTAAAACCATGCTCACTCACTCACTTACTTCACCCACTCGAGGCCTACCCCATTCCGACCACGGCCATGCTAAACACAGTCAAGAATAACATTTATCCATTCCGCCACTTACTCCACCCAGTCGAGTCTACCCCATTCCGACCACGGCCATGCTAAACACACAGTCAAGAATAACATTTATCCATTCCGCCACTCACTCCAACCACTCAAGTCTACCCAAGTCCGAACAACTGCCATGCCAAACACACAGTCAAGAATAACATTTATCCATTCCGCCACTCACTTCACCCACTCGAGTCTACCCCAGTCCGACCAACGGCTATGCCAAACACACAGTCAAGAATAACATTTATCCATTCCGCCACTTACTCCACCCACTCGAGTCTACCCCAGTCCGACATGCCCGTCAGCAGTACAATGTCAATACAGTACACCGTCTGTTGAGTTCTGTCAGAGAGGCGACTTCTTTCAGCGTTGGGAGTCCAGGAACGTGTGTCGCGGCGGCGATAACACAACACCACGGCGACGGTGCGACTTTGACATGGTGTTTTTGGAAAACAGTAAACATGTGAGTAAATATGGATTTATTTCGCTGAAACAGATCCCCGAATTCTGTTCCCGTATGTTATGCAGTTATTGTGCGGAATATCTCGAGGCTATTATATACAACTGTGTAAAGCATGCAGTAGTGTTGTAGGGTTCTGTATACACGGGAACAGTGAAAGTGTCTTAGACTCGCCATTGACAACCGAGGTATGTCAGATGATTTATACTGTTACAGTCAAATAGCCTGCTACTCTACAACAAGCTGGCCATTGTCGTGCCGTGTAATCTACAACAATGTTCAGTGTTATCGAGTAAAGGTTATGTATATATAGAAAGCAATTAGTCATTACAATCATTTAACAGTTGATTGCATGCGAACGTACCGTAAATGGTGTAATTACCATGGTTAACATGTGACGATATTGTGATGCAGCATGATGTCGACCAGAATGGCAATGTCAAAAAACGACGTGTCAGAAAATCCACACAACCCTAGCTTACTCTTCCTTCTTCCCCTCCCTCACCATTTTCTTCCCCCGTGATGCACCTTGAATCTGGAATATCAGTTACTGCGGCGTCAAACAACATTAAATTACCCTTTTCCAGGTACACGACCCATAATCATAGGTTCCGGGCACGCCTAAGGGATGCAACTCTGCACAGTGAATTAGACAACTAGGCCATCCGGGCCGCCTATTCCTCCTCTTATAATAAGTATCATCACTTAAATGTATAACTGATGACTATTCTTTGAGGTCTCCAGTCTGAACGAGTGAGTGTAGTTCTTTCACTCTGCGTTAGGGTTGGTTGGGGTTGTGTGGGGTGGGGCTTCTGGGATTATGTATGGTGACTGGATATTTTTTAACATACAGATGCAAAATCAAATACACTCTTCAAAATAAGAAACGCATAGGTGTTTTGAGAATTCAAATTAGATTTTTTTCCCCAGCAATCGTCATAAAGACAATTCTTATGTTTGATTCCCGTTAAACATGTCATGTTTGTTGTGCATTGCGCACAAACACATCTCAAAATGTTTTTTTGTAAACGTTTATCAGCAAAAATGCAAAGGATGCACGGAAATTGCTTCCAGAAAAAGTTTTCAGCACAATGCACGTGCAAAATGTTGGAATCAAGAGTAGAGACACTGACTATAAAAGACCGTACAAAATTCATCAGTTAATTACGAATTTTCTGACGTGAACGGAGATCGAAAAATGCCAAGATTAACTGCAGCTGACCGAAATATCGCCATTGGATGTTAAGAAGCAGGGGAGTCCCAGTTTGCCGTTGCAAGACACTTCAACAGTCGTCAAAGCACCATAACTCGACTATGGTCTCGATATACCCGCACTAATTCGACTCAAGATCATCCCAGAAGTGGAAGACCAAGAGTGACCACCCCTGCTCAGGATCGGTACATCCGGTTGCATCACCTTCGGAATCGATTTGCTACAGCAACCGACACTGCAGGACAAGTGCCTGGTATGCGAAGAATTTCCGACCAAACCATCAGCAATCGTCTGAGGGAAGTGGGAATTCGGGCGAGACGACCAAAAGTTGGACCTGTCTTGCGACGTCTACACCGTCAACGACGTGTCCGGTGGTGCAACAGAGAACAGACATGGGATCTCAGGAACTGGCGACGCGTTTGGTTCAGCGATGAGTCACGTTTTCTTCTTCAACGACGGGATGGAAGACAACGTGTATACCGACGTCGACATGAACGTTTTGCGCCGAACTGCGTTCGACAGGTTGACCGATTTGGTGGAGGGAGTGTCATGGTGTGGGGAGCCATATCCTACACGGGTAGATCACAGCTAGTGGTTGTCCAGGGCAATCTTACAGCAAACCGATGCATAGACCAAATTCTGCGTCCTCACCTCCTCCCAACTTTGGACCGCCAGAGGGAGCTGTTCCAACATGACAACGCTCGGCCCCACACAGCACGTGCAACAGTTAATTTACTTGTTAATGAGTACATCAATAACCTTCCATGGCCGTCCAAATCGCCTGATCTCAACCCGATTGAACATTTGTTGGACGAACTTGATCGACGCGTCCGTCAACGTCACCAGCGTCCCCACACACTGGCACAACTCGCCAACGCCTTACAGGAGGAATGGCGAAGAATTCCCCACGAAATAATCCGCCGACTTGCGCAATGTGTGCCAAGGAGGTGTCGAGCAGTGACGGCTGCAAGAGGTGGTGTGACCAGGTACTGACCATGACGCCCCCTTGTGGCTACACATGTGCAATGACTGAACTGAATTAATGCTGATAATGACGACAATGCTTTTGTCGATCACTGTGTCTAATTTCATTTGATTGTGTTCACGCATATTCTGTGTAGAAACTGTTACATCCGCTTGATAAATATCCTTATTTTTTAATATGCGTTTCTTTTTTGGAAGAGTGTAATATTGGTATTAAAACTACATTATTGACCTTAATAAAACCCCAACATGTTGCAGCAGTGTATTTTTGTGGCAGAATTATTTTTTTCAACAGTCTAAAGCATAATTATGTTTGCAAGCATTTGTTGAACATTTGTCTGGACCGAAGCCCTGTTTCCTTAAGCCGCACCTGGCCAAGTTCAGCTAACGTTGTCGGCGGCCTATGACGTTGACGCACACGTCTCCCTATCATATCCCAGACGTGTTCAAAGGGGGGAAGGTCTGGGCTCATTGCTGGCCATGACATTCTATGGATGTTGTGCTGCTGGAGGTGAGCATTGACGATTGGTGCACGGTGACCACGGGTGGTGTCGCCCTGAAAGTCAAAACGCCGACCCACACGCCATGCAAACGGGACATCAAAGGGTGTCAGTATGTTGTCTCGAAAAACTGCCCACTGACCCTTCCTTGCACAAGCTGGGTGGGGTTCGCTCAGGCATAGTGATGCAACACAACACCACAACCGATTCCCCGCCAAATCTGTCATGAGGTCTCAGTTTGACATTGGCTTGACGTTTCATTTCGACGTCGCCAAACACGACCACGTCTATCAAGGAAGTGCAAAATGTATCGGGACTTGACATCACAAGTGACCAGCGACGATGACCCTGGTTTCGACGTTGTGTACTCCATTGACGTCTGTTGACTATATGACGATTTGTGGCGGCACAACACGTGGCTGTCTAGCAGGGAGATGAACTGCACGGATATCATGTCTAATCGTCTTATCCGTAGCTCGTACTCCAGCAGGGCGGTCGGGTAGCCTAGTGGTTAAAGCGTTCGCTCATCATGCCGAAAACCCGGGTTAGATTCCCGACATGGGTACAATGTGTGAAGCCCAATTCTGGTGTCCCCCGCCGTGATATTGCTGGAATATTAAACCATACTCACTCACTCGTACACCAGCAGCCTGCAATTTGACTCGCCGTTTGCGCTCTATTTCGTAGAGTCTGGTTTAGGATCAGTTCATCCTGTACTCCTGTAGTTGACCTGGGACGCCCTGAACGGGCCCGATCATCAACATTTTGGTTTTTTTGGTACCAGTCCTAAAGTATGCTAATCACAGACGGTGAAACATCACAATTGGGATCGATGACATGCATCAACCAAGTCAGCGAGCCTGATAACCCGATCCCGTTAATCGCCTATTACGACAAGCATTGTCGCCTTTTAGGGCAAGCATGGGTTGCTGAAGACCTATTCTACCCCGGCCGATCATCAACATTTTGTTTTGTTTTTTGGTACCTGTCCTATAGTATGCTAATCACAGACGGTGAAACATTAAACGTATTAGCCACTGCACGCTGACTTCTGCCAGTTTCCAGCATGCCAACAGGCCGCAGACGCTCCGCGCGTTGCAGACGCCGCATCGCTAGTTCATACACAAACAATGAATGAAATCAAGAAAATCACAACTGTATCTGATAAGAAGAATCAATAAGATTGACAGAAATAATGGTCCACAACGATTAATCGATCTCTGTCAGGTGTCAAAAGTAGCGTGTGTGGCGCTACTGTTACAAGGTTAAAATGTCTCAAAAACATAAGAAAATGGTAACAAAATTGTAACAAACCAAACCCCTGATAGCTGTAATGATGTAGTTGCATCATACATGAAGTTTGGAGACAGAATTATTAGCTAGAAAGGAATTATTAGAGAAATGACATTTCACTTTTTTCACCAAAATGTTTCCGTACATTTCATAGGTATCAGTGGATTGTTTCAATTTTCTTACCATTTTCTAATGTTTTTGAGACGCATTACCTTATAACACCACTAAGTTTTTTAAGACATTAACGTTCGTCAACATTGTCTTTGTTCTAATACTTCGTAAAACATTTCTATTTCATGACGCCCTTCTTTTTAAAGAGTATAAATCACAATACATCTACTAAAATGTAATTTGGCTAAATGTATTCCCAGTGCAAAAACTTTTGCTTACTTTAGCGGGAGTGCTCTCTGTGTTAACAATCAGCAGTGTTCACCATCTGCCTCTATCAACTGATTGACTAATGTGACATGTGAAGTGTTTGCCGACATAAGTCCCTCCTTATTCTTCCTACAGTTCTCATATAAAGTACTATTCATAGCATATTAATATCTCACCAACGCGACGTCGTTATGTAAACTTACTGAACATTGAAATTTCTTTTTTTAATGACTTAATACACTGCCGACGTATATACCATCTGTTTTAATACACGAGTGCATAATGCTTGAACGTGCTTAGTAAGATTATTTATTTTATTCATATTGAAATAAACGTCATGTGCGGCTCGAATTGATGGATTTCCTGTTTGATATACGAAGAAAAGTCAAACAATTGTCAAGGGGGGAGTTCTATTACGAACCCCTTAACTCTGTGCTGAATGAGAGATAGGGTGAACTGAGGTTTAACGTCGCATTCAGGATGATTGCATTGTGTGTGGGTGCTTGTACTGGTCTGGACTTATACCGGAGTTATAGGTGAGGTGAAACGGGGTTTAACGTCGCGTCCAAGATTATTGCACTTATATAGCGACGTGCGTGCACGTGTGTGTGTGTGTGTGTGTGTGTGTGTGTGTG